AGACTTCTACGCCACCCTGTACAAGGAAAAGATTTTGAAAATATTTACAGCTTATCAAAAGTAAAGCATAAAAGGAAGTATGTTTCAAACATAAATGATTTAATTAACAATTAATTTTATTTAAAAATCACTATGTATACAATCTTTACACTTTTATAGCATATTAATGTTAATTAGCTAAAATACCAATCCGTCTTCTGGTGGCTAAAGCATATTAATGTTAATTAGCTAAAATACCAATCCGTCTTCTGGTGGCTAAAGCATATTAATGTTAATTAGCTAAAATACCAATCCGTCTTCTGGTGGCTAAAGCTACTGAGGTTTAATTTCTAAAATTAAAAGTGCCGCAGCCCTATGGAAAACTATCGTAAAGAGGAAAAAGAATAAATAAATAAATAAAAAGACTAATTTAATAAAATCGTAAATATTTGAAAAAAAATTAAATAATTAATTATTAAAGTAATTAGTCATTAGAATAATTACATAATTAAAATTTCATAAATTGTAAAGAGATAAATAAAAATTTAATATATTATTAAATAAACGGTAAATAATAAAATAAAGTACCGGATCTTGACTTTTCCATTTGGGGTTCCAGCTAGAATTAAAGTTTAACACAAAAACTAAGAAATAGTTCAACCGGTCTCCTTATTCGAGCTGTCAAGCAGAATAAGAAAGAGGAGCAAATTTTCCCCGTATCCCAGATTTAACTGCTAACAAAGTAACTAGTAATGATTTCCATCCCCTGTGTTTGGTTACATCGTTCCAAAACGTCTGTAGGTGCTCTTTTCCACTGGAAGACACTAGTGTTGGAAGGAAAAATTTACTCAATGTCATAAAATCATTGCACTTTCTGGAGAATTAGCTTCTGACATGTGGATGGGGGCTTTTCCTTTTTTAGAAATCTCTACCTCCTTTCAAGGGTTTGTTTCCCAAGAAGAGGAAGGCCTGCATTCAGAAGGTAGAATCGATTTTTAATATGGTATTATTATTATTAAAAATAAAATTTCTTCCGAAATTGTCGTTCAGCTAGATAAAAAAAAGTGCGGGAGCTTTCTTAATTAGGGCTCCGGTGTGCTCCGGCTAGAATTATGATCTGTACCAAAAACTAAGAAGTACCGGACACCGTCTCCGGTGGGCTCAGGCGCAGTTTAAGCGGTTTCAGCTTTATGCATGTCTACATAAATAACAGCGTCTTTTTCTTAGAACGTCCTTAATGATGCCATTTTACTTTTCAGAAAGTCTTTTCTTCCCTACTTCATTTCTCCGTTTTCCGTAACTTGCTTCAATTAATCACTCTAGTCGAATATGCATTATAATTTGCTTCTTTTAATATACTTCTGCAAGTAATGTAAATTTTCCTTAGGAAATACTTCATGAAGATATAACTTTTCCTTAATCAGCTTTTGCATGCCTTAATGCATTCACCTAAAACAAATAAATAAAAGAAATTATCTGGTCATTACATCACGTTGCGTTCATTATATTCCATTCGCGTCCATCAACCTAAATTTCAGTTCTCTAATTTATTCTGCGTCACCATCAATTTAATTTACATATTTCGTACGTTTATTAATTGTATCCGATTATGTAATTCACGCAGAAATCAATAGCTACTGTAATTCAAAGCGTGCTTTCAAATTCACTGTTCTCTGCGACATTTCCAAATGACTTCAAACTTCGACTGAGATTATCCACCGCTCTTTGAATATGGTAAGGAAATCCGATAATATGATTTAAATCGTAAAGCGGGGAAGAATTTGCATAATCAGTATAACGTTTGTACGCTATCCTTGGTAAATTTCTCTTGCCTTAACATGCAGCATTTATAATAGTACCTTGAATGCTCTGCGTGAAGGAAGCTAACTTATCGCCAAATGTATTCTGTAATAATCCATCTTTAACTGAGACTCATTAGAGAAGTGTCTTCAATATCGGATAATAACAGGAACGAATATTTCGCCCAACCACTGTGTATTCTATTCACTGTTTGTTTATTCATTGTAGGATGTAAATTAATCATAAAGTCACCATCTTATATATACGTCTTGATTTTTATAATATTTGTTTGACCAAATATTTTTCATGTTATAGATTAAAATTAAAATATTTTCATTGGGCATAATTGTGTTCTGTATAATAAATAAAAATCAAGCGTCAGATCTTTTAGCCATTTTACTTGATTAGCATTGCAATTTAATAAATTTAAGAGCCTTTTTCTGAAATCAAATTATTTTTACAATCGGCTGCAACGTAAGCGACGGATTTAGTGTTACTGCTCAAACATTATTGGTAAATGAATACCCGCAGTTTAGTGGAATGACAAACCGCAGAATAACAAACCAAGTGAAGTTGTGTATAGGTAAACAATATTATTTAGGTTCAGTTTCATTTTAGTAAAAGTACTTTCAGCATTTGCTTTCAAGGTTTATACTGTCGCTTTCTTCATTTGCAAATGAATGAAAAAACGAGTTCTGCAGAACAACAAAATTTCATTACTTAACTGTTGATACCACTATATGTACCCTCTGGAATGAAGTAACGATATTCTCTGTGAGGAAGGGTTAGTTTGTTTCATCATGGCAATCACTCGAGTACAATCTACTAAGGGAAGGGATGGCTTCGTGGAGGACTCTTTAAGGGAAACTGGCTTATCTGCACGTTACATATGGATGAAAAGCATGGAAACGGCCATTCAGCTTGTTCATTCGTCGGGAAATGAACCCGGATTGAGCTTCTACTATTCAAAGACTATACCACTCTGCCACTGGTGAGCCCATGTAATGAAAGGAAAAAGAAAAAGAACGAAAATAAACAAATAAAATGGTGCTATCTGAGAATGAAGAATGGAATTAAATTTTATTTGAAAAAAACGCAGATTAAAGTTCAAGTCATTGATTAATGTAGAGATAATTTTACGGATGTAGGAAAACTCAAACATAATTCACCAACTGAAAATGTCTCTTGGATTATTTCCACAGAAGTAAAATTAAATTTATGGTTTGCTGTTCAACAAAGTTGGGCAACAAAAGATTCATTTGTTTCTATTTCTCGAACATATCCTCTAAAGTTCATGCTCTTTGGAGTGGAATTTTTGTTGATTCCTAATAATGTTTTATCTGTACTCATACTACATTTACACTAAATATCTATGCAGAGTAATAAAGATAGAATGAATAGATGCTGCCCAGTTGGTGTATAGCTATATGAATAACCATAACCTGAATTTGAATCTGATAGAGTTCAATAAGCAAACAAATAGCCCAATTTTGCTAAAAACGTACTACCGGACCCTTCACAGCAAGACGATCGAGGAATGATTAATTGGAAAATGTTCATCCGTTTTGCAATGATACATCTACTAACATGGTTTGAGATTATCGCTCTTTTGTCTTAGCGGCAAAGGAAAGTTTACACACGTTTATTTCCAAAAGATCATCTTCTGTAGCCGTATTTAATTTACTATTGTGCCAAAGATATATCTTCTATCAATGTGAAGTTTCTATTCACCATTTTAAGCAGGAACTCCCAATAAATATACATGAGTTTGCTTTACTTGTTTGTGCGATCTTGCTTCGACAATAAGTAGGCTAAATAATCACAGTTGTTACAGCAGAAATCGGAACTACTCTGAAAGTTACAAGTTATACGCTTAATAAAGCTAAAGTTACAATTACTTTTTAACTGATCTTTAAATATCAATATTCTTCTATACAAAATTTAAGATCAACCTTATTTTTTACATTTTAGAGCATTGCATGTAATTTTATTTATCTGTTTATGTGACAAAATAAAATCCCCTAATAATAAGAAATGTATTATTCATTACACTGCTCTTAAACGGGATTAAAATTTAATTAAAAAAAATTTTATTCATTGCACTGCTCTTATTATTAGGGATTAAAATTCCCTAATAATATGAAATGTATTATTCATTACACTGCGCTTATTATTAGGGATTAAAATTCCCTAATAATATGAAATGTATTATTCATTACACTGCGCTTATTATTAGGGACTAAAATTCCCTAATAATAAGAAATGTATTATTCGTTACACTGCGCTTATTATTACGGATTAAAATTCTCTAATTATAAGAAATGTATTTTATTACACTACTCTTAGAAGGAATCTAAGTTTAAGAATAGTGTAATGTCTAAGAGCAGTGTATATGTCTAAGCACTGTAAAGAGCAGTGTGAATCCAGTCTAAGAACAGTGTAAATGTTTATACACTACTCTTTGACGGGATCATAGTCTTCTTTGACTTCCTGAATTCAATGAATGATCATGTTCTGAATACTTTTGAATATGGCTTAATTATTTACACACACAAACATGTAAATAGCAATCATTTATCTACATTGACAAATGGTAAAAAGATACGCATGCAGATTTCACGAAAATTAGCTCGCAGAATGTTTTTAAATCTTCCATATAATTATATAAAACAGTTAAGTTATTTTCTTTAATTAATAACTGAAAATATTCCATTAAAATATTTAAACAGATTTTAATGCACGTTAATTGTTTCAAATTTGCGAGTGCATTTTTCTTTTTTTTTTTTTTTTTTTTTTGTAAAACTTTGCATTTTGTATTAAAATTTGACTTAAAAGTATCCATACATCTGTGCCTAATTAAAAGCAAGAAATTAGAATATTAATAGATAAAAAAATCCTTTGCTAAGTGAAATACCGTATAAGGTATTTCTCCCACCTTCTTGTTGTACTGGTGTACTCTAACAGTACACAGAATCTAACAGAATTGGTGGTGTACTGGTCTGCATACTGGGCGTGTATTCCAGAGTCTGTGGTTCGATTCCCGGCGAAGGCGTTGCATATTTTTCAACTTTCCCTCTTCCAAAATATCTAATGTCTCTACAATCGAAGTAGAAAGTGAGAGAACTTGATAACTTATTTCATTTGATATGTATCAGAGGAAAGAAACCATTTCATTGATATAAATTTAATTTACCAACTCTAATGTTCTCTCTTTGTTACAGGATTGACAGGAGAACTATGCGATGATGAAAAAGAGAGTAGTTCGCAATACATCTGTGAGAATCTTCACTGAGTAACCGAGAAATGCAAGCGGTGCTATTCCTCACTATGTTACGCAGAAGAGGTCAGAGCTGAAGAATTAAAATCAAATTTCAAGTGTCGGTGTTAAGTGTTTCTAAAGTTGCAAAATTCTTTTTGAGCGTCATGTAAATACGACATATAAATGCAGTTTCTGTATATAATTTTCGTGTAAATCTATGATTATTTTATCCTGAGCCTGAATGTCAAAGGACAGTGTGGTATCTGAATAAAAAGAATGATCATTTTGTTCCAATAGTAATTCAAATGAAGTTGTTTCCTGAGGATTATGTTAGTTGTACTTTTTATAGCAACTCAAAAGTGTTGAAGCCTAATGTTAGAATGATTTTAAAGAATGTTTATTAATAAAAGTATGTTGGCAATAAGTAAAAAATGTGAAGCTTTTTTGGAACGATTGTTTAGTTTTTACTTTGAGTTAGATTTTTATTGTTCGTCTAGTGCAGGGATGGTCAACCTGGTCCCTATCGCCCACTGGTGGGAGGTAGAGGCTTCTGTTCATCCGATGATGAAAGTCCGTTCTCCCGCGCTCAGCTATCTCCTGTTGCCGTACGTTCCTGTTTCCATACGTTTCCATAAGTCTTTTCCACTTCGCTTAGGTGTTGTACAGTGACTACTTCGCTTAGTGACACACTTCGCTTAGGTGTTGTACAGTGTTTCGTTAGGTGTTGTACAGTACCATTGGACGCATAATGGGATTATCACATCTTAACAAAGGGTGAGGCTAGGAGAATTTTTTTCGAAAAAAGAACTTTTCGTTTTCCTACCATTGAAGGTTACCTAGCCGAAGCAGTTTCGCTGGAACTGATGTTCCGGCTAGCTAGGCGGGCCATAAACTTTATATCACTTATAAATAAATGGATGAATTTATCTATATATATATATATATATATATATGTTTACGAAATCTCCACTCAAAAAATTACTTTACATTTACGCTAAACTAAGTCACTGCGAAACCAGTGAGCGGTAAGGAAATTTTACTACCTTCAAAGTGGGCGATAGTTATAAAACGGTTGACTACCCCTGGAATGTTTTGCTTAATAACTTAAAATAGACTCTAATGGTAAGAAAATATTAAACTTACATATGTCTGTTCATAAAGTCGATAATGTTATAAGACGTGGAATGTAAAAAACGTATTTTGTAAGCGATGGTAAACGGAATTTTTATTGTTACAATGGGAAAATAAATAGCAGTTCTACATTTATAAAAAAGTGAGAAAAGTATGATTTGCGTTCTTTATTTTTAATAACCTCATAAATTTCAAAGCCTATTTGCAAGCAATGAATGAACTAGCTCTTTTCTAGCATCTAGAAGAGAAAGAATTTCATCTCCTTCCGTTTTTCCAATACAAAGAGGAAATATTAAGGCACTCAAATATGCTCCGAACAGTATGCCTTGGATTTTTTACTAGGCTCTTCATATGTGACACTCTAAATACCTTGAATATTCTGACGTCACACATTCATTTAGACTACGATAGTAGCTTTATTTTATCAGTCGTGTGATTCTTGTGAAAGCAATCAGTGTGTAAGTGAATAAAGGACTGCGGGTAATATTTGATGGGACTTGAGAGATTTCACCCTCCAAATTTTGACCAGGCTTCTCAAACAGTATGACGAATAATGTCTGTCGTATTTTCAGGTGATTGAATGATATAAAGCTTTTCAGGATGGAAGAACGGTTTTCAACGTGAATACGTAACTTACCTGGACGCCATTTCGAGCACAACAGTTCTGCTGCCGCAAGGATATTACTTCAAATAATGATATATTTTTCAGGAATGCGAGAATGGCACATTTTACATTATTCCATTTGCACGGGTCATATTTGAATGGCGTATATTTTCAGATTTTCCAAAACTGGTTTTTCTAACTCATGTCTCGAACGTATACAAGTTCTTTGACCATTCCATATGATAAGAAATATTCGTTCCATGGCTTTCTGTCCCTGAGTGGTGCTTTACTACAGTTCGTTTTCCCTTCCAGATAAAAATTTCGTAGCAAGGTTTCATACCGAGCATTATAGAAAGGCGTAAAGCTCTATCGAGCGAGCAAACATTCAATATATATTATTTAAGAATTTTTAATATGCTGATAACAGCATTACAATTCACACATAAAATATACCAGCAGTTTCATCCATTTTAAGCCTATTTGGACTGTTGGAATAAAATAATACTACTTGAATTCTCTTCATATGTATTACATTAATTACGCTTTTCGTGTTATCTATTGTGATTTCAGTTTGAAAGCATTAGAATAAAGCAGTAAATAACTAAAAAACCTCATTGCCTTCTACGTGCAGTAGAACCTGGAGAAATGAGGTTCCGTATAAATATTCTATTATATTTATATAAATATTTAAGTAAAACACTACATACAGCGCTCAGAATATCAACATAAAATAACATATAATCAGTCAGTGGTTCTTAAACTTTAAGCATTCGCTGACCTTTTATATTTACCCCAGATTTACAACCCCGAATGAGTGCCGGTATTTGGCAGTTACTGCCAAAAGAAACAGGCGGAGCACAGCCTCAGACCTGTCTCGTCAGCTCTCTTCAGCCACTGGTACGACAATTTCAAGGCAGGCCGTGTACAGACGCTTAGGGCAGATTTGTCTATATGCTCGTAGACCTGTCAGATGCGTTCCACTTACTGCAACTCACTGTCGCCTGCGGTTAGCCTGGAGTAGAGAGCATGCATTGTGGACACCGCAACAGTGGGCTTGTGTGATGTTTTCCGACGAGTCCAGGTTTAATTTGCAGTCTGATTCTCGCCGGACTTTCATATAGAGAGCTCCAGGTACCCGTTACCACCAAGAAAACATCATTGAACGACACCGTTACGGTGGTGCAGGAGTGCTTGTTTGGGGTGTAATTATTCTGGGTTCCAGAACTGACCTGCATATTCAAATTGGAATCGTGACAAGCCAAATCTATCGGGACGTCATTCTGGAACAACATGTACGTTTCTTTCGGGGCGCCGTGGGCGCACAATTTGTGTTTATGGATGACAACGCCCGTCCTCACCGTGCAAACATCGTAAGCGAATGCCAGCAATCGGAGGATATCACCCGTATGAACTGGCCAGCATTCTCACCGGACTTGAATCCAGTAAAGCAGGTGTGGGACATGCTTGGCCGACGAGTTGCAGTCCGTCAACCTCCTCCTACATGTCTATGGGAACTTCGGAGAGCATTGCTTTCTGAGTGGTGTTATATTCCTCAAGATCAGATCGATAATTTGATACTCAGCATGCCTAGGCGTTGTACGGACTGCATTGCATCGTCTGGGAGACATACAATGTATTAACAATCATACCAACCATGTAATATTGGTTTTTTGCAAATAGGGTTTTTTTTTTTTTTTTTTTGTAATTTGCTCCAGGGAGAAAAAATCGCTAATTTTTTTTAATTATATCAAACATATAGCATCTTTTTTTGCTCTTTACCTTTTGTTTAATAAATAAGCTTTACAAATAAGTCAAATTTGTTTTGCTTCTAACTCTTCCTTTGCCTGATTTTGCATTATCCTTAATTTATGGACATGAGTGTAATTTTGACAAGATCAACCCCAATTTGTATATATAGTAATATCTGCAGTTTTGCATTGTAACTTTTAATGTTATATTTCGCAGAAGGAGTTCGTTCTATGTTATATGCACGGATGAGAATGAATGTTTTGTCAATTCTTGTCCCCATGTGCTTTAGCATGTCTTAGTATGCATTTAGTCACATAAGGAAAATTGAGAATTTGAAAATGTGTTCAATAATTTTTGTTTCGAAAGAAGCGAAGAGTTCAAAGAATGTCTATCAAATAATAATTGTCGTATGCAACAAATACAAAGCTCAACGGACCTTCTTATTACCCAGGAAATATCTAAGCAAAGCAATATGGGGCAGGAAGCACACTAAAGATCATCCTCACTAAGGAGGTCCAGTAGAAGCTTCTTTAACGGAAACGTACAAAATCATGGAAGCCTTTACGGAAGATCGTCGTATGAATCAGCATGTTAATGCACACGAACTAGGAATTTTAGATGGCACAATCTCTTCAATTATGCACATGGGTTTTGCTGCTGTCAAATATGAGTTCTCAACTGATACGCGAAATATTGATAGAAAATCGGGTGCTGTTTGGCTTTAATGTCAGAAAAGTGCATTTTGAGTCCCTTGTGGAAATATAGCTCCTTTTACACAAAAATTGTGACTAGCGAAGAGATAAGGATCTTTTGCTCTGACGCAGATACCAAACCAGTTTTAACATGAAATGTATAAAGGGTTCTCATGTCCCAAGAAATTTCATGAGCAACGATTGACATAAATGCTCGTGGCGACAATTTCTCAGGGCATGAATGAACTTTTGCTTGCGAAATTCATGTAAGGTAAATCTACCATTATTTGAGGAATCTATGTTAACTGCATTACGAGATCCCATCAGGAAGAAACTTAGTGACAAATTTTCGGACGAGGTGTTGCTTCTTCATGATAAAGCGCCTGAGCACAAACCTCGTCTGGTACAGGCTGCTCTCACATAATGGGGTTTAATCATCCTTCTCTACAATCCAGTCCTAATCCCTAATAACCAATTTCTATTTCGAAACATGAAAACGCTCCCGCGAGGCCAAAGATTCCCTGCTGATGATTATCTCAAGGCAGCTGTGATCGACTTGTTATCAAATCAAAATGGCACCAGGCAATCCACTCACTCGCATCAAGATGGAAGAAATGCTTTAAGAACATAGGGCATTATAGTGAAAAATTATAAAGTGATTTTCTCTCTAGGTAGTTATTTTCATGTTCAGATAGATAACTTATTGAACCCCAGACTTATCACTGGCCAAATGTATAACTCGTGCTACACAGGCACAAACTACACTGAGGTGCAATGCACAGTCTTGTATTTTTTTCTGTGTTGTAATATCGCATATAGGTTTGTTATTTCAGTTTTAATTTTTGAAGTGTTACCTATTGATTTTCATGGATTACTTATTCTAATTGCCGGGAATTCCTATAATTTACCTGAAATTTACTGTTCTAAATGTGTAATATTCTACAGTAAATTCTGTCCCAATATAACTGTACTATTAAAAATTGCAAATATTGTGTCTTTCTAATTCAATCTATAGCTGTAAGCACTACAGAGTGTTCTCTGTAGTAGTTACGAGAGTAATCAAAACTAGTGTAACAGATAATTATGTCTATAAAAGTAAGCTAATCAAAAAATGAGTAGTTGCTGTAAATTGTAATGGGCTTCAGTGTAGAAACCTTAATATTAATATTCTGTTCTGATAAATTCCATGCACCGACATATCTATAGGATCAAAAACCTTTTTGTCGACCCAATGGAATGATTTGCTGCATTTCATC